ACTTTAAAAAAAAAAACAACACCTTTCTGAAGTTATATTAAGACCTTAGCAGTCATGCCACTGAGACAGAGGCTACTTTCCTGTATTGTTAGCTAAGATGTCCTCATCTTGTCAATTCATCTTTCCTGATAGATCAGTGAAACACAGAGGGATCCACATTTCCCTGGTGTTTCCTTCAGAATAACAAATGGCTAGGGCCAGCTCCAGCTATGCCAGATGGTGCTGTACATGAATATCCCTCTATGTGGTTATCAGCAGGTACCCTGCTGCCCTGCACAGGCCTGACACTGTTCAGGTCATGTCTGAAGCAATTACACATTGATAGCCTGTTTGTTGAGAACTGCAACAGGGCACAGTTTCACCCCACAGGCTGTTGCATGTGTTTCATTCAGCATTCAGGTGGGAACCATCCAAAGTGCATCTGTAGCCATGACTGACCACATATGATAGTCTGAGTTTTATGTGGGGTTTGTATTCAGTAGTTAGGGAAAAGTCAGACAAACGTTATTCTCTCCTTCCATAAAAGACTTCAGGCCAAGCCTTGTGTGTTTCCTATGGATTGTCAGTGGTGTTCTGATAAAGCCATCATATTCACATCACCAAACTGTCCTTGATAGGCCTTCCCTTGCTCTTCATGACCTGTAGACCTTGGTTAGCTGAACAGCAGAAGGGATAGATTTATACAAACCATGTAGTTTTTATTATACTGATACCAACTTGCATTTCCAGATCACATGGGCTTGTGCGGTGACATTTCAGTCAGCTGCTCAAAGCTGCTCATGGGAGCTTTATGGACACAACCTATTGCCATCTTCTCAGAAGCCAATTTGTCCACCACCTTGTGGTGGGTTAAAGGCTTTCCAATTAAATTTTTAGCCTGAAGATTCTGTATCTGCAAGCTCCCCTTAGTGTACTTTTATCAAAAACTTTTACTGTTGGAAGTAACCAAAGATTATTGGTCTTTGGGGAATTCTGTAATGGTGGCTGTTTATTGAAACAGGTTGGTGTACAGTACTGAAGGTTGTTTGAAAGGCTTGAGTACTGCTGTGGTCTTGTCTTTGAGAACTGATATTCCTAAGAGTCTGCTCCTGGTTTGGTTTGGTTGTTCTGCTGTTTTAAATAGCACCAGTGGCTCCCAGGGGAGAGGATGGACTTAGTTCTCCTGGTTATTCACTGCCACTAATAAATACCAAATGGCAATAGCAGCTAGACTGGAGGATACTCTGCTCTTCTGCAGACTGTGATATCCCCCAGAGATACCACCACTGCCCACTAAAGCAGAAAAATCAGTCGTTGCTGAAAATAGTTGATTCCGGCCCAATTCCTGAGCTTCCCCATGTAAATGTAGAGCAGCTGCACCAAGCGCAGTGCACTCCCGGCAGTGAGTCTGCTGGGGTGGGAGCCCTGCAAGGAAGCTCTGGCATGGCTGATGGAGCTACTGGGAAGTCACAAAGTTCCAGCTGGGTGCTGTGGTTTTGCAGCCAGAAGAGAGTGCAAGGCTGCACACTAAGGTGGGTAAATAGAAATGAGCTGGTATGTAAGGAACGAATGACCATAAAGCATATTGGTGAGTCAGATTAATTCCTAGAAGGAAAAACAGGGCAAAAATCTATTGACACGATTTCTTAATTAGGCAGCTTTTTCCTTCTTCATGCAAAAGAAAATGAAGCCAGTGCTGGAAAAGGCTGTTCTGGTGTATCCACAAGAAATCAGAGCAAACAAAGGCAAGCTGCCGTCTCCCCTGCCTCTGTGCAGAGCCTCAGCATTGCTCCCCTGATGTTGGAAATAAAAACAGCACCTGCGGGAGCTGAGCTGCCTGGAGACACCATCAACTCTGCTTGATTTGTTTGCTGGCTCGCAGGCAATTTGGCAGAGATGGTCCACCTGCCAGACTGCGGGGGCTCGTTGTGTTGTGCCAGCAGTGCCACAAGACCTGCCAGCACCCTCCTCCTGCTGCACTCCAGCAGAGCAGCCACTGGTGTGGATGTGCCCCAGCCTCCCATTGCCCACTGCCCGTGCTGCTGAGGCTCTCCAGCACCGCTGGAAGCGGGACTTACCTCTAACTCCTCTCCGGTAAGCACAGGGTTGGGCACTGCTTGTCTTATGAATGGAGAAATTAAAAGAACAAAAGCAGATTCCCTGTGCCACACTTCTTACCAGCCCACTCTGCATCTTCCCCAGCTCCAGGAGATAACATGCCTCTAAGAGCTACCACCCCTGCTGACAGGGAATGACCAGGGACAGGTGTGTTTGCCTCCAAGCACATGCCTGTGCATGTGTGTTGGTTTTCTGTGCTGCAAACATAACTGCCAAATGTGACAGCTCCAGCTGAGCATGTAGAAGTCTCTCAGGTAGCAACTGTGACTTAGAGCACCAAAACATTAAGATCAAATGATTCGTATAAATATTATTTTCCCTAGTTAGTTAAATACTCCCAGCTCCACAAATCAAGCAAAAGGAGCAGCCTCAGTTGCTTTGCAGCCGCTGCTGCAGCCTGGTTCTTCAGCAGCCTCTTCACAATGAGGCAGTACCCTGCATGGTTTGGGATTTCAGCTCACAGATGACCAGCCAGCTGCTCTCCCATGGAGAAAAGGGAATAAGGACAGAGAGATAAATTTGTGGTTTCATCAAATCAGATTGATATCTGCCTCAGCTCTTGGGTTCCTCTGAAGAAAACTATCACCTGGAAATCTCACACTGGGACTATCTGAGCAAAACCTTGTGTACTACGGGGTTTATAAGGGATTTGAAGTATTTCAGGGCATTACCTTGGCCTCTGAAAGGCAGAATGGGAAGTTATGTAGCCTTCTGACAAAGGCTGCAAAATATTCAAAGTATTTGAAATCAATATAAAATTCACCAAACTTCAGACTTACTGGCAATACAAAAACTTAATGTTTCAGGTCAGTCTCTGGTCAGCCAGCCAACAGATGTTGGGTCCAGAAGCACAGATTCCTCCCCACTGGCTTGACAGTAGGCAGCTTTGGGAAACCTGGCTCCCCTCTCTCTGCCTTCCTCTTCCCCCAGGCTTGTTTTATCTCATCTCTGTTGACTCTCTGTGTTCTTCTAATACCCATCCTAATACAGCCTCCAAAACTGAATTGATTGAAGTTTCTTGGTACTACTTATTATAAATGTGTCAGAGAAAACAGGCCTGGAAGTGACCTTGAAAGGTCCCTAGGTCCATCTGCCTGTTCCAACAGTCAGATACTGATCTAATCTGTTCTGGACTTCTGCTACTTCCTGTTCTGGCAGTATGATAGAGACTACTCAACTTTCCCTGATAAACAGTTCTATAGCTGCTCTATCATATTTACCATGACAAAGCTCTATCTAGTACCTAAGCAAAATTTCTGTAGTGATAATTTAAGCCACTTCCATTTTGTCTTATTCTTCAAGGATATGGGGAGCACACCCCTCTCCTAGGTTGCAATATTTATCCTATTTGAAAACTTGTACTGTATCCACCCCCTCCCCGCTCCACTCTCACCACCACCTTGGTCATTTCTTCTGCAGACTAAACAACCACAGAGACTTCCCTCACAGGTATCAGTGCCAAAAGCAGCAAAGTCTTGACAATAATTTTAGTCTCACTAAAGGGAACTTTTTAATATAAGCAGTCAGTGACTTTTCCGACAGTGGAATACCCAAACTGGTAAGCAGAAGTGATTAAACTTCTGCGGACTTACTGATACTCTCCACTGTCTGGCTCCACATTAACCCGAAACACAAAGTGAAACTCAGCCTCTCAGACCTCACAGAAAGTTGGCACAGATGTATGCAAATCTGCTGGCTTCGAGCTGCTTTGCTTAGCGGCAGTTGGATGTGGGCGTGATGGCTGGCTAGGAAAGGTGAGGGAACAGCAGCCACATTGCACCTGGACAGGGAGAGGCTGTCTGCCCCAAGCCTCTTGTTTGAATTGCCTGGGGCCAGCTGGCAGGGATGGTATGGGAGAGGACAGAGGAAGGTCTAAAGGGCAAGGAAGTAGCAATGTGAGGGGGACACAAAACTGGACAACCAAGAGCTGCAAGATGTCTGTGCAGGCCATCAGATTGTGAAGGGAAGTGAGGACTGCTCTCATTTTCTAACTTACCTGTGGTGCTTGGCTGGGCAAGGGGGCCTGTTTCACTTCTTCCTCTGGTGCTCAATGCTGCTTGTGCTGCCTTTTTGCTCCTGCTCTGAAGTGGTGATGGATCCAAGGGGCACCATGCCAAGGACTATGACAACTCTCAGTGACTTCCCTCTCCTACCTTCCTTGGCAGCCCAGACTCAGTGCCTTGTAAAGGCCTGGAAGAAATCAAGAATAAGCAAAACAATCCTGCTGCCAACTTAGAGGAAGCAAAGCCAAAGACTGATGTAACATTCAAAGAGTACATAAATGGCACCATTAAAATGTCCCTCTTTACCTTATCCCAAGATCCAGCAGCTGCAAGACATTGCGTGGAATTTGAGAAAAACATTTTTAAGCAAGAGTGGCAGTGACTTTAGGATGTAAATTCACAAATACAGATGGGCATCAGACTCAGTAAACAGCAAGCTTTGAAAGGGCCAGGTCATCTCCTGAACACCAACAGCATCCAAAGGGACCCTGATGCTCAGGACACATGACAAACTACATGCAGGAATGTTTCCCTGTCTTTTAGATGGTTTCAGGACATTGTTGTTAGGCACTAGCCAGCAGCAAATAAAAAAATCAAAATGTTCCGAGTTGATGTGCAATGCACACTGCTTCTTACTTGCATTTACTCTTTCTTACCCTGAATACAGCAGGTAAGACCTGAGTTATCCTTCACATATCCACCCCAAGTTCAAATAGAAAGTCCTTTTACTGTCTGTTTTGTAGTTATAATCTAAGCATTATATCCAGCACAGCTAAGACAACACTGCACTGTGTGGAAATCACATGCTAAGCAGAAGTCCTTACTGATGAGCAGCTTACAAGCATCCATTTCTTTCAGAGCAGTGACCACTTCCGACCTTTTCTCCGTGTGACTTTAGATTACTCCGGATTCTCAGGTTAAAAAAACCTGTATTAGCAGAGAAACTCCAGATGGAAGACTGTTTGTTTTCACCTTCCTCTGAATGTCCTGTCAAGCAATTTGCTGCTACTAAAAATCCAGGCAAACAAGATAACTGCACACATAAATCCTGTTTGTGCTGTTGGGCTTCTCCACTCTAAATATAGCTGGGTGGAGGAGCCCTGACCAATAAGACAACAAGACAATGGAGTCCTCTTCTTATCTGCACCACAGCCTTGGCATCTGCAGAGGTAATAACCCATTTTACTTTAGTTGTTTGACCAGAAACAGATTTTAGGAATACAAAGATGAGAAAAAGAGACAAAAAACATTACTTGTGATTCTCTTGTAGTCAACATAAAGAGGGAGGGATTCCACGAAGGTGCTTCATCCCATTTTTCTTGGTCACCTTTTCAAGGATGGGATTACTTGCTCTTGGAGGTGACTCCCATTTTGGTAACAAAGCTGGCTGCTCCTCCTGTGCCAGGGAAACTTTCCATCTCCTGTTGGCTGCAGGCTGATGGAGCAATGCTCTGTCAACTAGTTGGTGAGGTTAGGTTTACAGCAGCCGGGTAAAGTGATGCATGCTAGTGTAGCATCATGGACTAAATTCTCCCCAACTTTTGTGGGTTTTGTGGCCTTTTTTCCCATAGTATGAGCTATTACCCTGGGAAGCTCATTCTCATAGCGTCTCAAGAAATCTGGATTTAAGCACATATTGGCCTTGAAATCACTCAGTGGCTCAACTCCTTGATAGAGATCAATAGTGAGAGAGAGGTTTGGGTGTTTTTTTGTTGGGTGAGTTTTTTTTTTGTTTTGTTTTGTTTTTGTTTTTTTTTTTTTTTTTTTTTTTTTTTTTTTTTTTTTTTTTTTTTTTTTTTTTTTTTTTTTTTTTTTTTTTTTTTTTTCTTTTTTTTGTGGTGGGGGAGGTCTGGTTGGTTTGGGATTTGTTTTGTTTTGTTTCTTTGTTTTTCCACCTCCATTCTATACTTTGACTCTCTTTCAGCATCAAAGGTGGCTGAATTTTCAAGTCTCTCTGCACCTCCTCCAGAGAAACCCAGATCCCAAGTCACACAAACAGACCAACAGTGCAAGAATGGAAATCCTGTTCAGGGCTCAGCTAAGCTTTTTCTGCAATGTCCTCTCTGGAAGATCTTAGAAGAGTTCGTCAGAATCGCTAGAGTTTTTCTTTTGACGAACATGACATATCTTGGCTCCGTTTCCTCCCTTGCTTATCACTATTTTGTTAGCTTGAAGATAATTTCCAGGAGATCTGCTCTCACCTTAAAGTCTGATCAAAGGAAATCCCTGGGGCTTTTTTTAAGAAGTTATAGGGGAAAAGGGTGGGTGTCTTTCTGTCTAGTAACAGTTTATTTTAATCTGCCTGTTTTCTCCTTTTGTAATCCATAAGCACTCATGTTTTTAGAAGGCTTGCCAGTTATGACAGGTTTCCTTGACGTTACTGTAACAGGCAAGGCTAAACACGGCTGTCTGGTGCCTGCAATCCTTAGGAGTTCTGCAGGACCCGAGTCAGTAAAAATAAACTGAACTTTAGACACACTCAAGCCAAGGGCTTTTTCAGCCAACTCCTTTGTAAATAGTCAAAAATTCAAACTAGATATGGTGGGACAAATTAGCGTCTGGAGTCACCTCAGTAGCTTTACTGGCACTCTGCTCAGAATTCATTTCCTGCAGTTTGTCCTTTACAAAATTCCTTGTGCTTGGAACAGGCAGTACGTAAGTCAGAAACTAAGGCTCAACTTCTCAACTTTTATGTTCATGGAAATGAGTAGAGAAGAACTACTAATAGAGATGGCATGCACCTAAATGTCAATATAATACTGTATTTGATGACTTTTCATTCACTGCCAGAGCTGAAACAAACATTTCAGAATAATAGGTGCCAAAGCACTTTGAAATATCCAGAAAGCATATGAAGACGAATGCTTGTGAGAAGAAGATAGACAGCATCCTGCTTCAGTTTTGATTTTCAGTCCACATTTTGATTGTTCATCCAATTTTTAGAGTAGACAGATAGGCTTCTAAGTCATAGACTGCAAGGGCAATCAGACATTGATTACTGTCCCAGCGCAACACCAATGGAAAGTGTGTCTAAACCTCCAAAAAGACAAAATTCCCTCTCCCCCCATGGTTAGGCTGTGGTGGGTTGTTCTTGTGTATCTCCAGCTTTTAGGCTTAATTTGCAGTAATTGACCACCTTAAACCCCCCATGGGGCCTTGGATGACGTGTGTCACTTAAGCCCTGCGTGAAGGCGGGAAGGACAGCTGCAGAAAAGCATTGCAACACAATGACATATCAGGGAATGAACTCAGAGGCATTAAAGAAAGGCAAATTAATAGGGAAAGCTTTAGGAACTCTTCCAAGCACTACATTCTTGTTTTATTTTCAAATGTACCACATCATAGGAAAGAGGCATGGCTCTGTAATGTTTCTTCTGGAGAAACTGGAGTTAAATGTTATTCTTAGGAATAGTATATGCAGGTGTTCACCAGATATTAGCAAATGTTTCACTATTAATTGCATGAGAAGTAGTTTCTATAGCAAACACTTCATCTTCTGATTCATACAGCACCTTTCCTGTTGCCTCTCTACCTTTTAAAAAATGAATATGTCAGTAATGCCAAAACCATGCTATGCACAACTTTTACAAATAGATATTATTCCAAAATAGCAACAAATATGGTATATGTGCTTCTCCTGAAAGCCCCTAGATGACTTTAGTGAGTACTCATAAGGGAGCAGATACATAATCATGAGGTTTAGGTGATTACTACTGGTCTTAATTTGTAAATCAGTGAATACTCAAAGTAACAATCACAGTAAAATCTAGGAGAAACCTGCAGGATGAATTATGTACCCACACTCTAGCCAGTGGGTCACACTGAACTGGCTAAATTCATCAGAGAAACTGGTCCCCGTGTATAACTTTCAGCAACTTCTCATAGTAAACAGCAGACTAGGTTGATGCCAGACCTTTAATGCACAAACACACATAGACACTCACATACACGCTCTCTTCTCACAAATGGAAGTCACATTCATAATAAATATTGGGATTTTGTGAGGATTTATACCTACCATCGTTTGTACTGTGTTACTTTTTAGGGCCAGGTGAATACAGCACAAAATACCACAGCAATAGTTTGAAGGGACTGACTGTGTTTCTAAAAAGTGTTTCTTCATTAAAAATGCATTAAAAACCACTGAAGTCTGAGGTACATATCAATATTATAGTAGGCACTTGAGGTTTACTTTCCTAAGATTGATCCTGCTCCTGAGTAAAGTCTACCTCAGAAAAAGTCAGCTGTTTGGTTTTGTTATTTTTTTTTAAATTGCTGTGCCCACACTGAAAAAAATCTGCTTAAGAATACTGCAATCTAAGCAGTACTGTTCTGTAGAAACTGATCTGTTTCCTGGTATGGAAAAAAGACCCCAAAGCTTGACATAATTCCTCCATGTTCAAAGACATGTCTTTAATCAATAAATTTATCTGATTCACAGCTAGTTTGACTCCGCTGAAACTAGAGGAGATGCACATTCTTTTATATGAGTTGAATTTGTTTCTAAACATAAATATGAATAAACAGAGCATCTGCAGCTACTCCGGATACACTGAAATGACAAGGGCTATCAGTCCTTATGCTTCAGGGTACATAATCTGATAATCAGCTGAGATCAGGGAGAAATATCCTCCACTGGTACAATATTGACTAACTGGATTCATTACAAGCCTTTTATGTCTTTCTCTAAAAAATCTTACATTTGCCACTAGATGGACCAGCGGCCTGTTCTGGCATGACAATTTCTGTGAATCTAATCCACAAAACAGTTGGCAATGGGTGCTGCTCCTGTAATCACTGAATCAGCAGCACACCAGCTGGGAGGAGTCTGCCTGCATCCCAATGGTGGCACTGAGTGCTCCAGATGAGGCCTTAGTCAGAAGGTGGGAAAGAAGAGGAGGAGTTTTTCCATTGTGTACACATATTTATGGAATATGTCTGATTTACAGACATCTGATATATTAGATGTAGGGAGTCTGGAGTACACATCATCTGACCTTGAATCCAGACAAGGGTGAGAAAATTAGAATGGAATAGAACAGAGTAGAACAGAATAGGATAGTGTAATGCAGCATAACATAGCGTAGCATAGTGCAGTATCAAACACATCTGAAGGTTGTGTACAGGAACAAGAATCCTGGAACTGGAGGTGAGCCAGTGCTTGTCTGTGAAGCCCTGGCTAATCAGATGCCAACCTACTTCTCTATTTCCACTGCAGAGACGGAGAACAGATGGGTGGGCTGGAATGAAATACAAAATAAAAGCAGGCGTCCATGGTCAACTTTATACAAAGGACAATAAACCCCCTCATTATATTACAGAAAGACAAAGTATGTTAATATTTCTCTAACGACACTTCCCACAGAAGCAAAATCTGCAACTGCCTGAAAACCACAAGGTGCTTGGGTGATTATCAGTGAAAGGGAGCAGAAGGCTGTACGTGATGTAATTAGGAAGGCTGCTCAGAGAGCAGTTTCACTACTGAGATGAGTTCCATGCTATCAGAAACAGAGATCCTTCCAGATTGTAAAAGTTAGAAAACACAGTGAAAGGTTCCTGCTCCCCATCTTGCTGAGTCACAGGTCAAGATATATTTTCCATCATAGGCTATTCTTTCTAATATGTCACACTTCAATGACACTTTAAGCTCAAAATGGAGCAATCTTGTTTGACTGCTTGCCAGGGTAGCTGGAGACTTTTGATCTCTGCACTGACAACAGTTTACTCGACTGAAAGCAACTGTACTCTCCTTCTGTCCCCAGGAGGAGAGAAGGTTACAAAACAGCATCTTCATGTCTCTTTATGTGAAAAATACAAGTACTCAGAAAGGAATAAAAACAGTGCACTTGTTTTCCCTTTACACTTATCATTACATGTGAACGTATCAACTGGAATGAGTTTCCAACTACCCAAAGAAGTTTTTAGTAGATAAGCATATCTGCCATGAATCGCATCCACAGACTGCCCTCACAACCACCAAAACAAACACTGTCACATCTGTCTCTGAGAAACAACCCTGTTGACAGTTGACTTACCATTGCCATTGCAATGTACAGCAATATTCAGGCAGCTGAGGTAGCTCCAGGAGATTGGAGTTCTTCTAAAATGTTGTGTTTTCCTCACCTGTTTACTCATATTTGGGAGGGTTTTGAGGAAATACTTCAAGAAAAATGGGACCCTGGTCTATTTTAAGCTAAAGTCTATTTCTCATCCACTAGAAGATGGTCAGTATGTGAGGGTAGGTCACAATCAGCTCAGACCTACCTCCTGAGCTGAGCATGCTCCATAGAAATACCTCCACTCTGTGATGGCACAGGGCTGCTGGGTCTTCTGCATGTCTTGTGGTCAAGAAAGCAAGCCAGAAAACCCAGCTTCTGTCTATTACCTGCATAACCCAAATGCATAAGAAAGCTAAAGGACACCTACCTTTCCCTCCCTGTGGACTGTTCAGGAAATGTATTAGGTGATCTGTGGCCCTTGAGTACTTGGGAGAATTTCAGTGCTCTACTCCCAGGAAGCTGAAGCATCCTCAAGAAACTCATTGGGATAAACTGACCTTTGTACACCTGGGACTCAGACCCTAAGCAATTTTTTTTTTTTTTTTTTGGTAGCATGGCTTGTGAACATCAGAGGAGAGTCAGAGGGAAAGGACCTGCCTTTCTACTCACAACACAATTTTTGAAACCAGCTTTGTAATCTGCTTTCCTTCTGGTCAGGCTAAAGATACACCTGAGCACTCATGACTCCCAGGCAAGGTTACCAGCATTGTGAAGAGACAGCCATAGCATTCCTCCCCAGACACACCTGTGCAGGTGGAATACGGTGCACTACAATGGTCACGGCCATCAACAGAGCTGAAAGGGCTCCACAGCAGGTCTTGGACACTCCAGGAGACTTCGCCGACCTGTGGCCTAAGGGCAAAGGAGGTGGCACAGAGACAGCAGCAGGCATGTGGGTAATGTTGGTGGGAATGAGTAATTAGTGTCTCAACAGTTTCATTGCTTTTCAGTTTGTTTTTGGGAGAGTGTTTGTCTGCCAGGTTGAGTGCATGGGAGGTTCAAATCCCACTTTCCTGCATGGAAACTGGGAACCAACAAGGAGCTGGCTTATTTGTCTTCACTCCTGAACTCGTTCACCCAAGCTGGAAAGGACCACCAGGACAGAGGTAGAGTTCACAGTTTCGAGGGTGTCAAAGCTGACACTACTGCATTTCACTGCACTTCACCTCATTTTTGATTCAAAGGGGCATTCTGTTTCAAAAAACCTTTGTTCTCAGGCACAAGAAAGTGACGTTTGAGGCTTTCTAATAATAAACATGTAGTTAAAATGATTCTGGTACAATCCATCTCTTAGTTCTGGAGAGGACGTGGAAGAGGGGGATGAAGGGAGAGGTCAATGAATTTATAATCTGGCTTTTAGTGAGGTGTAAATTTACCACCCAGACTCCCACCCATTACACCACAGACAGGAAACCAGCTGGTGGAGGGGGCAGTGAGTTTGTTGTTCCTTCTTGCACAATGACTATGTATGTTATTGATTTCACAGGCCTAACCATGACTGGTATATTTTTTAAATCTTGCCGCTTGCCTTTTTATGTTTTCAGATCAGCTATGCATTTCATCAGCCTCCTGCCTACCAGCAATCATAAAATATGAGCTTTTGTGGGAAAGCAGAGACGTAGAAAGAGTTTCTTATGAAACAGTGTCTGGGATTGTTCCAGACACCTCCATCCAGCTGCTCTCCAGGCAGCAGCTTTGTGATACAAGGGATAGTAAACATCAGCTTCAGAAAGTGAGACGGTTGGGCTTTTTGGCTGCAGGCC